GCTGATCTGTTTCATGTTGCTGCTGATCTGTTTCATGTTGCTGCGGATCTGTTTCATGTTGCTGCTGATCTGTTTCATGTTGCTGCTCACGTGTTTCATGTTGCTGCTCACGTGTTTCATGTTGCTGCTGATCTATTTCATGTTGATGTGTTCATGCGTGCTCATCTGCTCACAGACTCATGTTTGTGCTGCTGTTCAACGTAATGTTTTTATGCTTAGTGTATATTTAGTTGATGTTGTTCTTACTTCATATCTTTGATCTTATCACTGTTTTTATTTTACATTTTATTGTTGGATGGAACTGGGACCCTGTGGACATAATTTTGTTCCACCACATGAGATGGAACGACAATAAAGAATCTCTGACTCTGAATTATATCGTTATCGAACGAAATTAAGAAATATATTGTGATAAAAGTTTTGGCCGTATCGTCCAGCCCTAAGCTGAAGGTGGATGAAGATGCTCATCCCCGCAGGACATGTGGTCCATGTCTCTGTTGGGCAGGAGCGTGTGCACGAGCTGGTGCACGTGGTGCGGTGGAACGTCCACTCCACAGACTGGGCAACGTCTCCTCATTGTATTTTTAATCAATAATCAATAATCAAAATGCACGATGACTTTTGGGAGCGGGGATTTGAGTTGCTGGATAAATTTCAGACATAATAAACAGCTTTCAGTAAAATAAATAAATACAAGGAGAGAAACGTTTGAGTATTATTCACATGACGTCACGGATCAAAACAACGGCGCTAATATGTCAAAATCCCCGTGATGAAAATGTGGAGAAGACAAGTGAGTTGAATAAATGGACGGATGGTCTTTAGCTGGACGACTGAGACACCTGAAGACAGACTGGAGCAGAACACGCAGGACTGAATTCAGCCAAGAAGAGTTTGGGTCGGACAGTGGCGTGTGTGTGTGTGTGTGGGTGTGGGGGGGGGGGGGGGGGGGGGGTGTAGGACGCTTGACAGAATCGGAGCTGCTCTAATCACGGCGCTCTAAAATAGTCATTTCAATCCAACCTTTATTTCTACAGGTTGTTGGTTTGGTTGAAAACAACAAAGTCCATGCTCAATAATTCAGGTACATAATGCAACAGTTTTCAGTCAGGTCAGGAGGTGTTGTGTGTTTCCTTGACTG